CCCTGTTGATTAAACCTCTGTCATCTGCCTCTCACCATTTCTGATATATTGGTAGGATGGCTGAGCTCATCTCTTGAGATTCCCATGGTCAGGACTTTAGCCCTAAAATTCTCGTAATACTGTCACTAAACACATGACATTTTGACACAATTAAGACATGAGGTAAGGAGCTAGGAATGTGGCTTAGTGGTAGAGTGCTGGCCTAGCATGAATGAAGCTCTGGGTTCTTTTTCCTCAGTACTACATACACAGAAAAAGCTGCAAGTGGTGCTGTAGCTTAAATGGTAGAGTGCTAGCTGGGACAGTACCCAGGCCCTGAGTTCAAGCCCTAAGACTGACAAAAAAAAAAAAAAAAAGACATGAGATAAGGCAGGTAGATCGTACCAAGAGAATCCTTGCTACTCAGGGGACTGAGATATGGAAGATCAAGGTTTCCAGCCAGCCTTGGTAGAAACGCTGTGAGACAAGACTCTATCTTCAATTAACCAACATAAATTCAGGTTTGAGGTCTGGCTTAAGTGGCAGAGTGAGCCATGACTGAAAAAGTTGAGTGAGGCAGGGAATGTGGCTTAGTGGTAGAATGCTTGCCTAGCATTCATGAGGCCCTGGGTTTGATTCCTCAGTACCACATCAGCAAAAAATAAGTAGAATTAATAAAAATAAAAAGGAAAAAATAAAAGTATTAAAAAAGTAAAAAAGATAAAGTTGAGTGAGAGTCCCTGAGTTCAAGCCTTGGTACTGATAAAACAAACAAAAAAATTATTTTTAAAAAAACAACCATGCACTGGTGGCTCATGCCTGTAATCCTCGCTACTCAGGAGGCTGAGATCTGAGGATTGCTGCTTGAAGCGAGCTTGGGCAGGAAAGTCTGTGAGACTGTGGCTCAAGTGGTAGAGTGCTAGCCTTGAGCTGAAGAGCTCAGGGATAGCACCCAGGTCCACAATTCAAGCGTCACAACTGCCAAAACGAAACAAACAAGAAAAAGCTATAAGATAAAAACCTGATTGTGGAGGAAAACCAGAGAAGAAGAAACTTCATTGGTCCAGGAGTGATGATGGAGGCCAAGACTGGGTGATTGAGACATGGACGGTGAGTAGTTAGAACCTGGGGAAAATTTAGGATTTTTTTTTTTTTTTGTCAGTTGTGGGGCCTGAACTCGGCCTGGGCGCCTTCCCTCAGCTCTTCAGCTCAAGGCTAGTGCTCTACCACTTGAGCCATAGGACCACTACCAGTTATTTCTGTTTATGTGGCGCTGAGGAATTGAACCCAGGGTCTCATGTATGCAAGGCAAGCACTTTACCACTGAGCCACCTTCCCAGCCCCTAAAATTTAGGAATTCTTGAGTTTTGTTTCTGATATTTTCTTTTTAGATAGTATCTCAGGAAGGCCTCAACCTTGAGATCTTCCTGTCTTAGCTTTCTCAGTGCTGGGAATACAGTCAGAAACCACTAAACTTGGCCTGACCTCTGCATTTGATAGGGAGGAGGAGGAACTGAGACACAAGACTGGGTATGGGGAAAGAGGCCAGTTTGTGTCTGGAGTGCTTGGTGGACATCCCAAGGATAAGATCTAAGCAACAATATGAGTTTTTATGTTTTTATTCTTTCTAATTTATTGTTGTTTTAGAGGTGATACACAGCAAGATTACCTTTATATATGACAGGTAATAAGTACATTTCCTTTCCCATAGTGTCATCTGTTCCCTCATTGTATCCCATATTTCCTCCTTCCCATCTCCACCCACGAGTTGCAGTTTACTTTCATCAATGTCCAGTGTGCTCCACTGCAGCACATTTTCACCCTTTTTCCTCTGATTCTGTGCCTTCCCTCCTCTCCCACAGATGTGCATGTGAATAAACTGTATATAAGGTAAAGAACACAAAGTCAGAGCTGGGCACCAGTGGCTCATGCCTGTAATCCTAGCTACTCAGGAGGCTGAGATCTGAGGATCACGATTCAAAGCCAGTCTGGGCAGGAAAGTCTGTGAAACTCTTATCTCCAATAAACCACCAGAAAACTGGAAGTGGTGCTATGGCTCAAGTGGTAGAGCACTAGCCTTGAGCTGAAGAGCTGAGGGACAGCACTCAGGCCCAGAGTTCAAGCCCACTACTGACCAAAAAAAAAAAAAAAAAAAGAACACAGAGTCATCAGAAAAAAAATAAGAAAAAGTCTTTTGCTTTCATATTTTGGTTTATTTTTGTATATTATTTTATGTACATATAAAGAGGTTTGTTTTTTTTTTGTCAGTCGTAGGGCTTGAACTCTGGGCTTGGGCGCTGTCCTTGTGCTCTTCAGCTCAAGGCATGGGTTTGTTTTTTGTTTTTGTTTTTGTTTTTTTTAGGTCCGGTCATGGGGCCTGAACTCTGGGCCTGGGCGCTGTCCCTCAGCTCTTCAGCTCAAGGCTAGCGCTCTACCACTTGAGCCACAGTGCCACTTCCGGTTTTTTTCTTTTTGATGTGGTGCTGAGGAATCGAACCCAGGGCCTCAGGAATGCAAGGCAAGTGCTCTACCACTGAGCCATCTTCCTAGCCCCCGTGGGTTTTTTTTTTATAATCAGCATGTGGCTCTATTCTTTTCTGAGCTTCCTTTTCTTTTTTTTTTTTCTTTTGTTGGTCATGGGGCTTGAACTCAGGACCTGATCACTGTCCCTGAGCTCTTCTGCTCAAGGCTAGTATTCTACCGCTTTGAGCCACAGCTCCACTTCCAGGTTTGGAGTGGTTAATTGGAGATAAGAGTCTCAGGGACTTTTCTGCCCAGGCTGGCTTTGAACGGTAATCCTGAGATCTCAACCTCCTGAGTAGCTAGGATTATAGGTGTGAGCCACTGGCCTTTTTTGAGCTTACTTGCTCCTGGCTAGTGCTCTACCACAGTGAGCCACAGCTCCACTTAGGCTTTTCATCACTGATCATTGATCTTTTTGTTGTTGTTGTTGTTATTGGTCATAGGTCTTGAACTCAGGGCCTGGGCACTATCCCTGAGCTCTTTTGCTCAAGGCAAGTACTCTACCACTTTGAGCCACAGTTCCACTTCTGGATTTTCCACTTCATGGATTTTCCTGCTCAGGGTTGGCTTCAAACTGTGATCCTCAGATCTCAGCCTCCTGAGTAACTAGGATTACAGGTGAGAGCCATCAGCGCTCAGCACAACAAAAGGAGTTTTATTAGCCGGCTGGCAACTATCCTGTCCTGACTCCAGGGTCTCAGAACAAAGGGTAGCCTCAACCCCTAGTAGGCAGGGCTTATAGAGGCAAAAAAAAAATAAAAAACAACAAACCCACACAGGTGGTAAGGTGGCTTCTCAAGCAAACAGCTGATTCACAGAAGCAAAATTTGCAATTTCATAAGCAATTCTCGTAAACAATTTTTTTCTTTTCTTTCCTTCCTTCCTTCCTTTCCTCTCTCTCCCTCTCTTTCTTTCTTCCTCCCTCCCTCCCTCCTTCTCTCTCTCTCTCTTTCTTTCTTTCTCTTTCTTTTTTTGTTGGTTGTGGGGCTTGAATTCTGGGCCTGGCCATGTCCCTAAGCTCTTCAGCTTAAGACGAGTACTTTACCACTTGAGCCACTTTCAGTTTTCTGGTGGCTTACTGGAGATAAGAGTCTCAACCACTTTCCTACCCTGGCTGACTTTGAACTGCGATCCTCAGATCTCAGCCTCCTGAGTAGCTAGTATTACAGGCGTAAGCCACCGGTGCCCAGCTTCATAAACAATTTGATGAGGTTATCCTGGAGCCATTAGGGGCAGGAGGCACTTCTGCAGTTGTCACTGGACATCAGAGGTAACACATAATCCTGGGGGGTCAACAGTTGTGATCAGACCAGGACGCACAGCATTCAGCTGATGACACTGGAGGTTAGAGGTAAGTTCAGTTTCAGGGCTAGGGGTGGGGATTAACACAGGCTACATCTAATTTGGGGAAAGGGCTGAAGGTCTAAAATGGCTTAAAAAAACTATCTAAAACTGGGTTCTCACAGTAGTAGTAGTAGTAGAGTTAAATACATATGTACTTCAAAAATACCTATATACTTCACTGACAAGTGGTAATAAACTTTGTGGGAGAGGGGTTGAAATAGGGTAGGGGAAAAGCTTATATTTTGGAGTGTCTGCTATAAAGATTTATATTAGATTGTTTTTTCTTTTCTTTTTCATTTCTTTTTTGCAGGTCCTGGGGCTTGAACTCTGGGCCTGGGCACTGTCTCTGAGCTCCTTTTGCCCAAGGCTAGTGACCTACTACTTGAGCCGTAGTGCCATTCCGTTATTTTTTTCTTCTTCCGTGATTAGCCGGACTTTTCTGCCTGAGCTGGCTTCGAACCAGGATTCTCAGATCTCAGCCTCGTAAGTAGCTAGGATTACAGGCGTGAGGCACCAGCACCCAGCTTGGTTTTTGTTTTTCTTTTGTGGTGCTGGGAAACGATTCCAGCGCTTTGTACATTCTAAGCACATCTTAGACAAATATTTGTTAAAGACTTTGTGGCAAAAAAAAAAAGTGGATGTGTTTAAGAAAACGACTTACGAGTGGATTACAGAAGAGTATCCTTGTGAGAAATTGCAAACCAGAAAAGAGATCCCAGGCTAGAGACACCAGATATGGTCACTTAAGGGATGGAGGGACCAGTCCTGAGCCGCCGCCCCCCACCCCAAGCACTGACCTGTGACGTCATCGGGACGTTAAGCAGCGTAACTTCACCTGGACGTAGTTCCTATTCCCTTCCCCGACAGGTTCTCCCTTAGTAGTGAAAAGGACTGGGTCAAGCCTCTTATTGGCTACATGCTCCGTCAATCCGTCTCCTTCCTCCAGTCTTCCGCCCCGCCTTCCAAAGTCTGTTTTTGATAGGTCCTATTGGTTGTCATTTCAAAAAGGTCCGCATTCCTTCCGCCTTTCTCCAAGAGCCGGAGACAGAAGAGGGTGGATCCCAGGAGGCACCCACCCCCGCGGAGCCCGGATTCCATCTCTGATTGGCTACACTGGGTGCCGGTCGCTAGTGCATCTGCTGCTAATTGGTCAGTAGACCGCCGCTCTACACGGCGCCGGCGCCGCCCCCGTCGGGTGTTTGTGGTGGGGCTGCGGAGTCGCCGATCCCGCCGGAAGCGCCAGGACAATGGGGACCCGGGACGATGAGTACGACTACCTATTCAAAGGTACGGCTGGTGAGACACGGACGGGTGAGGGTGCGGCGGCGAAGCGGCTGATGGCTGGGTCCAGGCTGCGCTCAGGGATGCTAGGCCTAGATTGAAGCCCGGGACTTGGGACCTGGAGGGTTCGGCAGCCGGGGAATCGAGACAGGCCTGATTCGTTCAGCTTCGGGCCTGAGAACCGAGCGATGAGAAGAACCACAGGCCCCAGAGAGGCTCGGGGACCCCGGATGAGCCGGGGCGGGGCCGAGGCCCGGAGGGGGTGGGGCCTGGAGCGGTGGGCAAGGCCGTTGGAGGCGGGGCCTCCCGAGGGGTGGAGCAATCCCAGGATTTGGCGGGTCGGGTTAGGCGGAAAGCGTTCTTTGGGATGGGGGCGGGACCGTTAGGGGCGGAACCAGGACTCTGGACGCGTCCAATAGATGAGTTGGAGTTGGACCGCCGGGGGCGTGGCTTCTTGTAGCCAGGGATGATTGGTGGTAGCCTGCAGGGGGGCGGGCCCCGGCCAGGGAAGGGCAGATGAGAGGGGCCAGGCCAAGCTGGGAACGTTGGGTTGTGGAGTTTCAGAAGGGTGGAGAGGTGCTAGTGTGTGAAGCACTAATTCTAACTCTTACAGCTGTTGATAGCACTGACCCAGTACTTTTCTGAGCCCTTTACAGTCACAATCACATTCAAATTCTTTCTGCCACTCTGTGGAATCCATGTTATCCAGCTTCTCTTTTTTTTCCAGACTAGGAATCTGAAGCTTGGTGTGGTGTAATCCCAGCACTCAGGAAATCAAGGCAGGAGGATTGCTAGTTCAGTGTTTGTCTGGACTACATAGTGAGACCGTGTGTTAAAAATAAGGGACACTGAGGGCACAGAGAGACGTTCATAAGGGTTGGAACAGGGTTGAGCCATTGGCCAGCTGTGGGTATTACCACTTAGAGGTTGAATCTTGGGACAGTTGAGGCCTAAATCTGGTATTTGGCACTGTCAGGCCTCCCTTTAACTCCTGCAATGTTGTCCCAGACCCTACCCAACCTTTCCCCTACTTGGGGAAGCCAGAGCCCTAGGAACATGAGTGAGACCTAGGCAGACCAGGCTGGTGAGGCTCTGTGTCACTTCAGTTCCTCATTGCTCACCTGGGCAGGTTGAGGGCTTACTGGCTTCTTTTGTGCCATACTAAGCTTTGGCCTGGGCCTCTGACATCCATGCTGGGCTTTCTGGCTGATAATCACATCACATGAGTGTTAACTCCTGAGCCCGCAAAGGGCATCTGTGTTCTGCTGCCTGCTATGTAAGGATCCATTACTGTGGGTCTCTTTCCACCTTGGGAGCCATACCTGAGGGTATGTCCTGTTCCCAAAGGCTTATCTGAGCTGACTGGTGGTATATGGTGTTCTGGAGAATAGAACAGAAGTAGGAGCCTGGGGTACCCATGTGACAAAAGACTCCTAGGCAGTGGGACAGAGAGTGCCTGCAAAGATCACATAGCGCCCTGGGCTAATAAGGGGGTTGCATATAGGCTGTGAAGTCCACCAGTGTCAGTCCCGAGGCATCCCCCAAAGCAGGGGAGAGTCTTAGAAGGGCTTTGGAGATTGGAAATGTGAAAGATCCTCAAGTGGCTCATCCAGGACAGACTCATTCTACTCAGCCCACTTCTGATCCTGGCTGTCTACATGAGATACTACCCAGGCTGTAGGCCTTCTCTCCTCCCCTTCGATGCCGAATCCAGGCCTCTGGTCATTCCCCACTTGTTATTTTCAACCTTTTGTTGTTATAAATAACTCAGCTCTTGAGTGTTTGCCTGAGTCCTCTTATTGCCCTTTGGGTTATTTCCTTGATGTGTGTTCCCAGAAGTACAGTTACTGGGTCAGGGGCAACAGAGCAGTGATGAGTTCCAGGGACTCGTCTCCAGAGCTTGCTTCCTGGAAACACAGATCAGCCTCTCGCAGCAGCTGGGATGGGGGGGGGGGTTGTGCTGCCTGCCTTGCTGCCCTCCCTCACTGGCCTCCTTTTCCTGAGCTGAGCAGGTACCTCAGTAACTTTCTGGAGCTGGTTGGTAGCTAAGTCTAACCTACAAGGTCAGTGTTTCCTGAAGTGGTCATCCCAGGGCCCCGTTCACTATGGACACTCAGATTCTCTTTCACTATTTGTCCTTCTGCCTACTCAGGCTTTCACTCCACTCAGGAAAGGGAGCTTTGTGTGTCTCTGGGAAGTTAAAAAAAGGAAGGAGGAGCCAAGCCAGCCCTGCTCCTCATCCGCATCTTTTGGTCACCTTCCTCTAGCATGAGAGCCACACCTCTTTGCATGGGACATTGGCTTCCCTGTGTCCTGCCTTCTGTTTCCGGCAGCTGTATTACATATTGGCTTCCTTGACCTCAGAGGCGAAGGCCAGGGCGAACTGGTCCCTAGAGTGGAGAATGGGCAGCCACATGCTTTTTGTTTTTCTCCCCAACATTCTTCTCCTCCCCAGGAGTGAGGCTGTTTATTTGTACCTATTTATGGATCCTTTCATTTATCCTTCTGCCAACCTTGGGCTGGGTCTCTGGGGTCCCCTAACTTCTCTGATAAACACTGGCCTGGAAGGTCCTCAGTGGGAGCGGTTGCATTCTCAAGGGTTACCAAGGTCCTCCCAGACCCCTTCTCCTGGCCAGTCAGTGCCCACTTGGCCCTCAAGGTCATAGGTCATAGGAGAAAGGTGGCTTTGATAGCCCCAGGACCTGTTCTTTGGTTTGTCCCCACTCATAACCTGAGGAGACAGACAGAGATACTGAGATTTGTAGCTGCTCCTCAGTGAATTGGCTGGCCCCAGCCTGGACAAGGTGACAAAATGGGGTCCTCACTGGCCTGCTGTTCTAATTACTTGGGGACCCAAGCATGCTACCTTCTCCCATAGAATGAGGGCCCTGATGGTGCCCCTGCCTCAACCCCTCTCTCCAAGAGTAGCTAGGGCAAAATGCTGTCAAGTGTTGGTCCCTGGAGCCTGCATGGTGAGGGTCTATCTCCTGGAGAGGGTCCCCACCACTCCCCAATGTCCTCTTGAACATCAAGGTCTGGGGGTTCCACATTGTCACGGGGCTAATCAGAGCATCCAGGGCTTCTGAGAGCTGCCAGTTTTTTGTTTTTGCCAACTGGGTTTGCCTGCTCTGGCCGCCAAGTGGCATGTCCAAGGGGACCATTTCCCGTCCAGCAAAGCCACCGACTTCTTTGGAAATGTTGAGGCCTGTGTCCTCAGGGGCCCTTTATTTTCCCGGGACAACAGATCATTTGTGTCTGTGACAATAACGTTCTCATGCCCAGCCGACCATTCTGCATCAGGCTTCCTGTGCCAGGGACAGGTAAGCAGTCCTTCCTGCATACACCTGGCCAGGTCCCCCTGCTAGGGCCTCCATAGTTCTTGCTGGGATTATGTCTCCAGCTGTGCAGTGGGCATAACGGGCTGGTTTCTCTCAGCTGGAGCTGTGGGGCCAGGCCTCTTCCTAGGTGCTTGGAGCAGTGACCGCTGGGACTAAGGGGACTCGAGGCTACACAGCTGGGACCTAGCTGAGACACAGCTGGAAATGAGCGAGTGATTGGAGAGGCCCCCACTTTTGGATAGAGACCGGGTTTCCTGTTCCATTCCTACCCACATGCAAATGAGCAAAGCTTGGAAAGAAGTGATGGGGTGGTGACGTGGCTGGTGGTCCCACAGTCTGGGATGTGTGGTGTGGGAGCCCATGTAGCCCCCAGTGGCATGGCTGGGCGGGGGGGGGGGAGTCCTTGGCTCTCAGCTGTGGGCCCATGTCCAGCTCTGCCTCTTTCCATCTTTCTCTGAACTTTGCCTTCTTGTACTGGGCATCCAGAGAGTCACGAGAGGATGCCGCTTCTGTTGTCACATGTGCAGGCCAGGCCATGTGAGTCTACGGGGAGAAGAGAAGCCCAAGCCAAGGCATCTGGAACCCCTCAGTAGGGGTTTTAAAGGATGAGCAGGAGTTTGCCTGGTCTTCTAGAGCAACCTGCCCAGGTGGAAAAGTGGGCAGACTGGGGTGCCTGGAGTCTCAATGCCTCCATGAGGCAGAATCAAGACCCATGAGTCATACATGGCGGGTGAGGGCACCATGGTGAGAATGTGAGTTGGGAGGGAAAGGACTCAAGCCTTGTCCCAGAGACCTGGGTTCAAATTCTGCCTGGGCTGCTTCCCAGCTAGGTGGCCAACCCCTGCTCTTAGTCTGTTGCCTTGGTCCCCTCACTCCCGATCTGAGCCTCAGTTTCTTCCACTGTAAAGTAGACCACATGAGCTGTGTGCCGTGTCTCACGCCTGGAATCCTAGCCACTCAGGAGACAGATCGGAGAATTGTGGTTCAAAGCCAGCGAGGTCAAGAAAGCCCATGAGACTCTCAGCTCCAGTTAACCATCGAAAAGCTGGGAATGGAGCTGTGGCTCTAGCCTTGAGGAAAAAAGCTTGGGACAGTGCCCAGGCCTAGAGTTCAAGCCCCAGGATCAACAACAACAAAAAAAGAAAAGAAAAATAAGGGAGGGGGCTACTGGAGGCTTGTATGACATAGCCCTCACGGGGGGCTTTCTCAACACTTTTTGTTCTCAGCCTTACTATTCTTTGGAGCCAAAGCAGCCAGACTGATGGTGCTGGGTCAGGTTGGGGTGGGGGCTTCCCCAGAGCTGGTGATGACCTGTATGTCCTCCAGGTGTGCGCATGGGGTGGGGGAGGGCCACAGTTCAGATGCAGGAGGTCTGGAAGCTACACCAACCTCTTTGGCAATTGCTTATAGATTTGTCAGTGTTTATTCTGTGCCAGGCTGTGTACCGAGGCCTGGAGAAGATAGGGGGTATCAGGACTATGTGATACTCCTAGAGTGGCTGGGTAGATGGGAGGTGGAGACAGTGAAGACCTTAGGTCTTCTAGGGGCTTGGGAACTAGAAAGGAGAAAATCAGAGGATTTTTCAGCACAGATCGGGAGAGAATGTGATCTTTATTGGGTGTGGTGGTGAACGCCTAAAATCTCAGCACTCAGGCAGGTCAAGGCCAGCCCTGGCTACATAACAAAACTCTGTCTCAGAAAGTAAAAGAATGTTTTTTGTTTTTTTTTTTTCTCCAGTAAGCTCAGCAGTGCAGAGTGGCTGTGGGGAGGGGAAAGGAGGTCGCGTGGAGGGCTCTATCTCCCTGTGGGACAGAATTCTGGTTCTGTGTCAGCCAAGGCTAGCCAGCTGGCCTTGACTCCCCTCTGAGGGCTAGGGCCACGCCCTGCCCCTCATCCCACTCCACAGGGCCAGTGAGCTTAGCCTGGCTCTGTTGTCTAACTGATCCTTGGTAGACGTTCCCTTGGGCTCTTCAGCCCCCAGATAGCCAAGTCTGTAGCCTTGTGATTGTACTGACTAGACTCATTCTCATGTGCTAGGGCCTGAAGCTCACACTTGGGGGGACCTTGTGGTTTCTGGCTGGAGTATCTGGCTAGCTGTCTACTGTCTGTTACATCGGTACTGTGTGCACGTGAGCACATAAACACGTGCATAAAACACGTGTACCTAAACACGTGTGAACATACCCCATAACCTGGGTGGTTGGGCCCCTAGAGGCAATGCTTCCACAGTTGGGGGGGAGGGGGCAGAATCAGCCTATGACTGCTGTACTCTGAGGGCTTTTGATTCCCATGTTTGCCCCCTACTGTTTTGTGTCTAGTAGGTCAGACCTAATGTCCTGGGGAGCTGTTGCCTACAATCCCTTATTGCCCTTCCAGCTATGTTGCCCTGGCATCCCTTCTGGGTGTGGGTTTGCATCTCCATGAGAAGCTCCAGCTGCACGTAGGGGTGCCCCAGGCTGAGTGGAGACCCTCTCCCCAGTCACAGAGGCCTGCTCTCAGGCAGGACAGTGGCAGCCATATATACTGGCGTATGAACCCCGTGCAAGTGTGTGCATGTGCACAGCTGCACAGCCTTCTCCCTCCTCAAGAACTTAGCCAGAAACATGCTGGGGCTCAAGGGCATTCCTGATGCCAGGGCAGGGGTGGTAAAGGTGGGTTTGCCTGTCACGGCTGGAGAGGGGGAAGCCTAGAAAGGGGTGCATAGACTAGGATGTGGCTTTTCATTGCCTGTCACTTAAAAGCATCCAACACCGGCCTTCCTTCCAAGATGATAACCCTGCAAGATGATGACTCTCCCCTCCCCCCAACCATGACAGCAGTGATGACAATCGTGTCCCACCCTACATGCTCTCCATTCTTCCTCCTAAGATGAATCCTTAGTGCCTTCCTGATCACACAGAAAGTATGGAAAAGGTGGCCCAAAGAAGTGAAGCCCCTTACCCAAGGTCACTCAGCCCTGGAACGTTCTCTAGTTCTGTCTCAGATGCCAAGGTCCCCAACTCTGAGGACCAGAGACTGGGAGACATGTGCTGTCTGCATGGGTGTTTTCTGGCAGCTACTGGAAGCTTGTGCAGGTTTACTGGGGTGTCTGTGTGTGACGGCATCCAGGCAGCTCTGGCTGCCACCTCTGCATGGTGCCCAGGGAGCCCCTGTGGGTGGACGTAGGGGGCCTGTGGGCATTCTCAGGGCCTCACCTCCTCTCTCTCTTCCCCCAGTGGTGCTCATCGGGGACTCGGGTGTGGGCAAGAGCAACCTGCTGTCCCGCTTCACCCGCAACGAGTTCAACCTGGAGAGCAAGAGCACCATAGGCGTGGAGTTCGCCACACGCAGCATCCAAGTGGACGGCAAGACCATCAAGGCACAGATCTGGGACACAGCCGGCCAGGAGCGCTACCGGGCCATCACCTCCGCGTGCGTGCCCACCAGGGCTTGGAGACAGCAGGGCTGTGGGCGGGTGGTGTGTGGGCCTGCCAGGATGTGTAGGAATCAGGCAGGATGGGGGGGGGAGGGGTGACTCCAGACACCAGGGAGTGGAAGGAGGAGTGGCCATCAATGGTGCCCAGGGACCCGCAGGTGGACCAGTGCCCAGCCTTGGGTACACTGTGGCCCTATGTGGCCCTGGGGTAGAGTATGCAGCAGGGGCCTATGTTGGACCCCTCTGTTCCCACTCCAACCCCGCCCACTCAGGATGGTACTGCCTGACTACCTACCTTCCTCTTCCTCACCAAGCCATGTCATAGCTACGACCGAACTCCCACGTGGGCTTCACCCACCCCCCTGTATCTCCCTGTGGCTCCTTTTCCGTTCCCCTCACCCTACTTGCTGACCCCTACTTGCTGGTCACCTCCCTATCTCCTTCACCCCCCTTGAATGGTCGGAAGGGCACCTACCTTTGTTAGTGGTCCAGGCCTGGCCCCTGGATCCTGCAGTGTGGGTATGAGAACTTCAGCCCAGTGGCCTTTTGCTTGCATAACTGCTTTCCTTTTCTCTGTTTGGTGATGACTTCATGATGTCTTCGACATCAGGCTCCTTCTCAAGTCCCCACATCCTTGAGCTGAATCTGGGGACAGCTGGGGCCTCAGGACAGTTGACCTGCCTTCAAGGCTATGATAGCCAACCCATGGCCAGGCCCTGTGTCCACCACCTCCCCGGGTGCTGTGAGGCCACTGCTGCGCACGGAGCCTGAGGCTCACGTGGTGGCCCTGGCCCTGCAGGTACTATCGTGGTGCAGTGGGTGCCCTACTGGTGTACGACATTGCCAAGCACCTGACCTATGAGAACGTGGAGCGCTGGCTGAAGGAGCTGCGTGACCATGCCGACAGCAACATTGTCATCATGTTGGTGGGCAACAAGAGCGACCTGCGCCACCTGCGGGCTGTGCCCACCGACGAGGCCCGCGCCTTTGCAGGTGAGCTGGGGGCAGGCACCCTGGGCAGTGGCAGGGCTTCCGTGTGGCTTCAGAGAAATACCTGGAAGCCAGGCATCCTGAAGGGTGAGCCTCTTGGTCCTCCTGCCTGCTAGCCCGTGGCAGGTGTGGCCCCGAGGGGTGTAAGAGGCACAATTTCAGCCCCCCCCCAACTCACTGGGCCAGGGTTTGGTCTGTTTCAGAAAAGAACAACTTGTCCTTCATTGAGACCTCAGCTTTGGATTCTACCAACGTAGAAGAAGCATTCAAGAACATTCTTACAGGTAGGCACAGTCTGGGCATGGGGTAGAGGCTGGGCATGGGGGTACAGTGCCCCCCTGAGCTTTCCCATGTTAGCCTGTTGGCTAGTCTGAAATGTGGCATGCTCCACGGATCAGGCCATGTTCTGGCCTTTGCTGATGTAGGACCAGGGACCCCTTATGCCCAGCTTCCCAGATGGGCTTTTCCTGGGGCAGTGGAAACAACAGACCCAGGTTGGTGATGATCGGGTGTGTGCCCCACCCTTGCCCACTTGGGTAGTGGTGGGAGTCCCCCCCCAGCCTCTGTCAGTGATGGGGACTCCAGGGACACAGTGGGGGCACCTCCAGGCTGAGTCCCTAGTCTGCTCACCCCACATCCTCCCCATGGCAGAGATCTACCGCATTGTGTCACAGAAGCAAATCGCAGACCGCGCAGCCCACGACGAATCCCCCGGCAACAACGTGGTAGACATCAGCGTGCCGCCCACCACCGACGGCCAGAGACCCAACAGGCTGCAGTGCTGCCAGAACCTGTGACCACCCAGCACCTCTGCCCAGCGTGCGTGCGTGCGTGCTCTCGCCCTGGCCCACCTCCCTGTCCTCCCCGCCCTTGCCCCTGCGCTCCGGGACTGGCTCGCTCTCACCTTCCAAGTGAGCTCCTTATGCCAGCCAGCCTAGCCCAGGAAGAGCAGGGGTCCTGCCTGAAGGGAGAAGCTAGCAGCTCCTGCTTGTGCACCTGGTCTCACAGGGTGCCGGTGAGCATCTTGGTGAGCGGGGAGGTTTGGCTGGATGGACCGGGCGGGCCACAGGCAAGGAGGATGAGAGGATGGAGCCGGCTTCTCCTGTTTTCCACGCCGCACTCAAGGGAATGGCACCTCCTTCCTTCTCTGGCCAGCAGGCCCTGCATCCCTACCCAGACCCTCTTCCAGGCAGCCTGAAGAGCCAGGCAGCAGGGGCTGGGCAGGCAGACACTCTGGGCTCTGCATCCCGCACGCACAGCCAGCGCCAGCACGGCCTCCAGCGCTCTGGCCTGCACCACTCTGCTCCCGCCTGTCTGTAGATTTTATGCTGAGAGAGACCCTCCTCTTCCTCCTCCTCTTCCTCCTCCTCTTCCTCCCCCTCTTCCTCCCCTTCCTTGTCTCCCTCTCCTTCCCCTCCTCATCCTCTGCACGCAGCGCTCTCCTCTGACCCCCTTTTCCCCCAATCTCTGTCTCGTCTCCCTCTATGGTCAGGAACCTGTTGGCAAGTGAAGCAATATCTCCGTGTTTTGTATATACAACTGCTCTTGTAGCCTTTGGTTTTTGTTATTGTAGAGAAACACAGATTCTTTATACACTTTGTAAGATTTACGCCAAACCCCAGCTCTCGATCTCTTATTCTCCCTGTGGCCCCTGCACTGTTGCCCATTACTAAAATGTATGAGCCGACTTCCTGTAGAAAAACCTGCTGCTGCGCCTCTGTCTTCTTTCTCTCCGCCAGGAGGTGCTCGTGAGCCAAGGCACCTACCTTACTCCTGTCTCCCATGGCCAGTTGGACCCCTTGGTTCAATCCATAGCTGTCCCAGCAGGCCTTCCAAGTGTCACCCACTGCCCCAGGGGCCTAATGAGAGGAAAATGAGACTCTCCCCAAACAGTCCCTTATGGTAGGGAAGGGGGAGAAGGCTTGGGGCATGGCCAGAGAGGGTAGCTACAGATCTGAATGCCAACGGCGCCCCCTGGTGGGGAGAGGTGGCCCTGCCCACTGCTCATTCTTTCCATTTCGGTGCCAGTCTCCTCACCAGGGGTGTCTGCCCACACTGACGTTTAAGAGGGCCACTGGGGGAAGCGGCATTGGTGACAGCTAAAGTGGGTGGCCAGGGGATTCCTGTCTCTCTTCCCAGTACAGCTTCTCCTTAGTGCATGCCTACCTATGCAGGGCTGCCATGATGTGGAGGTGTTACCTTCCTCTTCTAGGGCCTCATGAACCAGTGGGTGTCCTCTCTCCCCTGAGGACTGCCAGCTGGGTAAAGAGGCCACTCAAACTTGGATTCCTTGGGGACCCCCTCCCTTCCCTCTTGACTCCAGGCTCTGGCCACCTGGCCTGGAGGGTGGACAGTCCTGGACAGCACTGTTGAAGAGCTCAGGGCCCGGGGTTGTTGAGATCAGGATGTTAGCGGGCAGCTAAGGCCAAGGCTGATGAAGGAGGTGAGAGTGTAGCAGACCTCAACAGATAGGGAGGCATCGTTAGCACCAGGGCCCTGTTTGCATCGACCCTGTGGCAATTGTGGACCTGGGTTTGTGCAGGATTGGATTGACATGAGAAACACAGGTCTTTGGGAATCTAGGTGCAGCAATGGGGCAGTGCAAAAGGTTTCAGTCAAGACCACCAATCTGGGTACCAGCAGCTCACAACTGTAATCCTTGCTGCTCAGGAGGCTGAAATCTAAAGATCATACTTTGAGCCAGCCTAGGCTAGCAGGAAGTGGGGCTGTAGTCCAAGTGGTAGAGCAGTAACCTTAAGTGAAAGAAGCTCAAGGACAATGCCCAGGCCCAGGACTAGCGCACGCACACAGAGCGATGAAGGGCAGAGAAAAGTTAGATTTTGTGGCACAGGCACTTCGTCATCAAGGTACAGACATGAGCTCTATGTATAAATAGAGGAAGAATTAGGGGCAGGAGGGCTGGGCATGTGGCTTAGTGGTAAAGTGCTTGCCAAGCATGCATGAAGCCCTGGGTTCGATTCTTCATTACAATATAAACAACCAGAAGTGGTGCTGTAGCTCAACTGGTAGAGTGCTAGGGAGAGAGTGGTAGAGGCTCAGGGACAGTGTCCAGGCCCTGAGTTCAAACCCCAGGACTGGCAAAACAATGTGGGGGGCAGAAGGCAAAGGTCTGCCTAGTTGGGGAGTCCAGGTTATAGATGTGGCCTGGCTGGTCATTATCTCAGCCCTGGTTCTCTTCAGTTGTCACTGTCATTACTTGAGGGAGCAATTTGGTCTCCAGAAGGTCCAGTCCAGTTGCAGCCTTCTCAGTAGATAATTGTCCTCTGGGGGTGATCTTTCCTGCCAGGCTGTGCTGTTCCTGGGGGGTAGTGTTAGTCCCTTGTCATGAGGATGTCATTGGTCAGTCCTGTCCTTCCTGGATCCCATGCTGAGGACACAGTGCCTGCAGAGAGAATGGCTCAGAAGCAAAAAGACGAATGCAAAATGAGGGCGGGGACACCAGGCTTGTCTCTTGAGTTTTAGTTTGTATGTGCACTCAATAAGAAGTCAGTGCTTTTCAGCAAAAGCAGCTTTTCATAAGCATTTGACCCTAAGTTCAGCTGTCCCCCCACCCCGCCCAGTAACTCTCAAAACAGGACAAAAGTTTTAAAGCACTCATTAGAGCAAGTCTGCTGTTTTAGGAATCATGTGAAGTTGCTCACTATTTGGTATTTCAAACCATCAGTCTCATTTACAAACAAAAAACTTCTCTTTTTTTGGGGGGGGGGGTCTGGTTGTGAGGCCTGAACTCTGGGCCTGGGCGCTGTCTCAGCTCTTCAGCTCAAGGCTAGCACTCTACCACTTGAGCCACAGCGCCACTTCTGGCTTTTTTCTTTTTTGCTTATGTGGTGCTGAGGAATTGAACCCAGGGCCTAATGCATGCAAGGCAAGCGCTCTACCACTGAGCCGCCTTCCCAGCCCCAACAAGAAACTTTTCTACAATTATGAATATACAGGTTTCCAACCCAGAAAAGTATGGAAGCACTAAGTGATAGCATCTTGCCAATGTGTGCTGAGTGCCTACTCTGAACCAACAAGCTCTCTAAGATGTCCAGATAATAGACTGGAAGTTCAAAACTCCAGTACTGCCCAAATTCCAATGAAACTGGGGAGAAGTACAGCACAGTCATTTCTTGAAGCCTCGGGAGATTGATTCCAGGATTTCTTGAAGATTCCAATGTGAGGATGATAACGATTTTGATGTAGAAATACTATGGTAAGCCAGGCACTGGTGGCTCATGCCTGTAATCCTAGCCACTCAGGAGTCTGAGATCTTAGGATCATGGTTTAAAGCCAGTCTGGGCAGAAAAGTCCGTGAGACTCTTATCTCCAATTAACCACCCCCAAACTGGAAGTAGAGCTGTGGCTCAAAGTGATAGAGCACTAGCATTGAGCACAAAAGCTTAGGGACAGTGCCCAAGCCCTGAGTTCAAGCTCCATGCTGGAAAAAATTAAAAAATAAAAAAACTGTAGTATTTGCATTCTCCTGAATACTTGTGCACACATGTGTGGATGCAGTGTTGGGATTTGAACCCAGGGTCTGGTGCATGCTACTGGAGCATGTTGTCATTGAATTGTATTTCTGCTTTCCTGTATACTTTAAATTGTTCCTGGATGATTTATGTATAGTACCCAACACAAGATGAATGCTGTGGGAATTGTTTTTATACTCCACTATTTTGGCAATAATGCCATGGAAAAAAATGTTTGTACAAGCTCAGTACAGACCCAGTTCATTTTGGGCAATTCTGGGGATTGAATTCAAGGCCCTGGGCTTATAGGTGCTCTACCACTTGAGTCATACCTCCGGTCCTTTTTTTTGTCCGTTCATGGGTCCTGAACTCTGGGCCTGGGTGCTCTACCACTTGAGCCACAGCGCCACTTCTGGTTTTTTTCTTTTTGCTTATGTGGTGCTGGGGAATTGAACCCAGGGCCTCATGCATGCAAGGCAAGCACTCTACCACTGAGCCACCTTCCCAGCCCGATATCTCCAGTCCTTTTAAGCAAGCCATTTTCCCCAAATATATATATTTTTTGTGCTGGTATTGACTTGAAGTTAGGGACTTAATCTTTCGCTTAGCTTTTTTTGCTTAAGGCTGACATTTCTACCACTTGAGTCAGAGCTCCACTTCCAGCCCTTTTTGTTTGTTTGTTTGTTTTGTTTTTGTTTTTGGTCATGGGGCTTGAACTCTGGGCCTGCACACTGTCCTTCAGCTCTTCAGCTCAAGGCTAGCACTCTACCACTTGACCTACAGCTCCACTTCTGGATGTTTTTGTTTATGTGGTGCTGAGGAACCCAGGGCTGGTGCATGCAAGGTAAGCACTCTACCACTGAGCCACCTTCCCAGCCCTACTTCCAGATTGGAGATAAGAGTCTCAGACTTGCCGGGCGCTGGTGGCTCACGCCTGTAATCCTAGCTACTCAGGAGGCTGAGATCTGAGGATTGCAGTTCAAAGCCAGCCCGGGCAGGAAAGACTGTGAGACTCCTATCTCCAATAAACCACTAGAAAACCGAAAGGGCGCTGTAGCTCAAGTGGTAGAGCGCTCGCCTTGAGCTGAAGAGCTGAGGGACAGCACCCAGGCCCAGAGTTCAAGCCCCACAACCGACAAAAAAAAAAAAAAAAGAGTCTCAGACTTTCCTGACAGGCTAGCTTCAAACCATGGACCTCAGATCTCAGCCTCCTGAATAGCTAGGATTACTGCTGTGAGCCGCTGGGATCCAGAACACAAATATTTTTTAAATCATAGGCTTATTGAATGCATAAGTTTGTGATTTGAAATAAACAAGAATGACTTGTGTAACCAAAATTATTTTATTTATTTATTTTTGAGAGAAAATCTGACTATAGCCTTGACTGGCAGCAAACTCATCAAACTTCCGGCTCAACCTTCCAAGTGCTGGGATTACAGGCATGCATCACTATGCCTGGCTTTAAGTGTTTTAATGTGGAAAAATTGAAATGTGGGCTGGGAATGTGGCTTAGTGGTAGAATGCTTGCCTACCATGCATGAAGCCCTGCATTGGATTCCTCAGTACCACATATGTAGAAAAAGCCAGAAGTGGCACTGTGGCTCAAGTGGTAGAGTGCTAGCCTTGAGCTGAAGAGCTGAGAGACAGTGCCCATGCCCTCAGTTCAAGCCCCAGGAATGGCAAAAAGAAATGCATGTGAAAGAGTTTCATGAACCCCCCCCCACACACACACACATGCCCATCACACAGGGTCACCAGACCAACCTGGTTTCATCTCTGCTCAGCACTCCTCTCCTACCTAAAAGTCCAGGCATGCCCCACCTACAGGCAGTTCATGATGTCTTTAAAATATCAAGACTCATCAAGCAATTGTGCTCATGCCAGTAATCCTAGCTATTCAGGAGGCTGAGGTTTGAAGATTGCAGTTCAAAGCCAGCCTGGGCAGGTAAATCTATGAGATTCTTCTCTTCTATGAACCAGCAAAAAGCTTGATCCATGGCTCAAGTGGAAGTATGCTACCCTTGAGCACCAAAGCTCAGGGGCAACACCCAGGCTCAGAGTTCAAGTCCCAATAATGTATACACACACACACACACACACATCCTAGTAAGAGAAAACAAAATACCAGGCCTTTTAGTAACCCAACTTCAGTGTTCTATTAAGACTTTAAGATATAAAAATTCCTTGGTGCAGATCAAAAATCAAAACAAAACAAAACTGGCACTAATTTGTCAGGCGCCGGTGGTTCACGCCTGTAATCCTAGCTACTCAGCAGGCTGAGATCTGAGGATCAGGGTTCAAAGCCAGCCTGGGCAGGAAAGTCCATGAGACTCTTATCTCCAATAAACCACTCAGAAAACCAGAAGTGGTACTGTGGCTCAAGTGGTAGAGTGCTAGCCTTGAGCTGAAAAGCTCAGGGACTGTGCTCATGACCCACCAAAAAAAAAAAAAATTCCTTGGTGCAAATGTTCACATTTCTCTGGTTGTCTCTTAAACTATTTTCCAAGTGGGTTTGAATTAATATTCAAGCACAATTTATCCCTACATATTGGCCTATAGTGTCCAGTGCTTCTGTGTCTTTAATGTACAGATCTTTTTATTTATTTTTTTTGTCAGTCGTGGGGCTTGAACTCTGAGCTTAGGCACTGTCCCTGTGTTCTTCAGCTCAAGGCAAGCACTCTGCCACTTGAGTCACAGTGCAACTTCCAGTTTTCTAGTGGTTTATTGGAATTAAGAGTCTCAGACTTTCCTGCCCCTGCTGGCTTTGAACCGTGATCTTCAGATTTCAGCCTCCTGAGTAGCTAGGAATACAGGCATGAGACACCAATGCCCAGCTTATGTTTCATTTTTATTTTTTGGTTGTAGGGCATGGAACTCATGCTCTGCAGGCTCCACTCCTCCATTCCCTGGTGGTGTGTGTGTGTGTGTGTGTGTGTGTGTGTGTTGTGTGTACTAGAACTTGAACTCTGCTTTGTGCTCACTTAGCTTATGCTCTACCACTTGAGCCACTGCTCTACTATCAGCTTTTTGCTAGTTACTGGAGATAAGAGTCTCACAGACTTTTTCTTTTTTTGTTGGTTATGGGACTTAAACTCTGGGCCTGGGTGCTGTCCCTCAGTTCTTTAGCTCAAGGCTAGTGCTCTACCACTTGAGCCACAGTGCCACATCATGTTTTCTGGTGGTTCATTGGAGATAAGAGTCACAGTCTTTCCTGCCCAGGCTTGCTTTGAACCACGAGCCTCAGATCTCAGCCTCCTGAGTAGCTAGGATTACATACATGAGCCACTGGCATCTGGCTTCTCACAAACTTTTCTGCCTAGCCTCACATGGAACTATGATCCTCAGGTCTCAGCTTTCTGAGTAGCACAAGGCATAAACAACCAGTGCCCAGCAAAATGTATCATTTCTAACTGGGTGCCAATGGCTAGCACCTGTAATCTTAGCTACTCAGGAGGCTTAGATCTGATGATCATGGTTTAAAGCCAACATGGGAAGGAGGGCCCATAAGACTCTTATCTCAAATTATCCACTAAAAACCTGGAAGTGGTGCTGTGGCTCCAAGTGTTAGAACTCTATCCTAGAGAAAAAGATCTCAGGGGTAGTACCCAGGCCCTGAGTTGAAGCCCCATGACTGACAAAAACGAAATAAGTATAATTTCTTTTTTGAGGGGGCAATGGAACCCATGGCAAACAATCTACCATGCAATTATTACAGTCACATGCAATAATTGGTCATTCTAAGAATTTTAGTTGTGTCCTTAATGGTTCTGGTTTTACAAATAATAAAAATTTGCAGGTGGTGTATAGCTAAGTAGTAGAGCATTTTGCCTAGCATGTGGGGGCCCTGGGTTTCATTCCCAGTACCAAAAATAATAATACTAACAATAATAAAAAGCTGTGTATGGTGGTTCACAGGTATAAACCCAGCACTCAGTACTCTGAGGTGTGAGGGCCATTTATTTGAAGCCAGCCTGGGTTACCTAGCAAGATCTAGTCTCCAAAACAAAACAAAAAAGGACAGGTGCTGATGGCTGCTAGCTACTCAGGCGGCGGAGATCTAAGGATCCTGGTTCAAACCCGGCCTGGACAGGAAACTCTGTGAGATCTTATCTCCATTTAAACACAAAAGCTGTAAGTGGAGCTCCAGCTCAAGTGGTAGAATGCTAGCATTCAGGCTCATAGTTTAAGTCCCCTTACTGGCACACACACACACACACACACACACACACAGAGTTGGGTGCTGGTGGCTCACTCCTATAAGCTTGGCGACTCAAAAGGTTGAGATCAGGTGGATCACAGTTCAAAGTCACTCCAGACAGGAAAGACTATGAGACTCATCTCCAATTAATCAGCAAAACACTGGAAGTAAAATGGTGACTCCAGTGATAAGTCTCTAACCTTTAGGAAAAAGCTCAGGGACAGCGACCAGGCCCTGAGTTGAAGCCCCAGGACACACACACACACACACACAGACAGACAGACACACACACACACACACACACACACACGAGACAAAAGCAATGATTTCCAATGTCTGTCTAAATCGAGGTCTACAAAGGCAGCAATATTTGTCTGAGTTAACACATATATCCTGTGTCTAGCACAGTGCCTAGATAAAACAATCTCTCCTACTGATGTTCTATCTTTTGAATGGATCTGTTGCATGAGTGAATAAAGGATGAATAAATGATGTAGGCTTTGGGCCCCTTCTCAGTGCCCTGGCCATGTCTGCTTTGTGAAATGTGATCATACGATCTTTTCTTCTCTCCACATCGATCCAAAGATTAAAGAAGGCGATGAACACTTACAAACTGCTTGGCACGTGTCAAGTTGAATTCTCTAAACAGTTTTATTTACTTGAAAGCCCTGGCGTCCGTCGCAGTCACAGCCAGCTGGGAGCCCAGGCTGGGGACCGGGCGGAGCCGGGATGCAGGCGGGGCCAAGCATTGAGGGCGGGGCCAGGACGCGGCTGGGGCGGAGACAGCAGCTGCGGCGCCGCGGGCCCTGTACCGCCCAGGACGTCCCCGTCGCCTCCGGCCCCGCCTTCTGAGGCGGGACGTGCGCGTTTATTGGCTAGTGCAGATGAGAGGCGGTCACCATTGGCCCAAGGCGCTGTCTGCTTGGCGGGCGGTGCCCGGACGCAGGTGCCGGCTGGAGCTGAGCGAGAAGCGCTGACGGGCCGGGCCGGGCCGGGACCCAGGCCAGGGTGAACCGAGGGGCCTGTGCGGCCGCCCGGCCCGGCCGCGGATCAGGTAGGCACGGGAACGGTGGGCTGGTCTAGAGGACTCAGGTGGGTCGCAGATCCCGGGTTCGAGGCCCGAGATCGGTCCCTGGGCAGGACAAGCCAGGCTTGGGACCCTTGGCCTCTCAGCCTTCTCTGAGATGCGGGGATCTCCATTTCCACTTGGAGGACGGGGAGAGGTCTCCGGGCCTCGTCACACAGTGAGTGCCTCTCTGAGCCTCGGTTTCCCCATCTGTGAAACTGGGTCATCCATCCCAGCGCCAACCTGATTTGGGAGGTGGCTGTTAAGGACAGCGACCGGCACACAGTAGGGTGGCAGGAAGTGGCTAACGTCCTTCTGGTAACCTCCTCCTTCAAAGGGACGGTGCCTCGAACTTGGTAAATATTATAGATCCAAACACCGTGAACAAAGCTACTTTGAATCCCTATGCCCAGTGGTGTTTGTTCAAAACGGTATTTTCACAATTCATATGGTTAGCTTTTTTTGTTTATTTTTACTCAGTCCTCCAGGAAGGAAGCCCTACTAGGTGGAAATAACTAGAAATGGTTCCCGAACTACTGATGAGGAAGTTGAGGCTCTCAGAGAAGTTATGTGTCTTGCTCAGGGCCACACAGCAAATAAGAAGCAGAGCTGTAGCTGGGCACTGGTGGTTCATACCTGTAATCCCAGCTGAGATTGAGGCTGAGATCTGAGGATCGAAGTTTTGAAGCCAGCCTGGGCAGAAAAGGCTGTGAGACTCTTTATCTTCACTTAAGACCAAAAGTGGAGCCGTGGCTCTAGTGATAGAGCGCTAGTCTTGAGTGAAAAAGCTAAAAGACATCAGCCAGGCTCTTGAGTTCAAGCCCCAGTACTGTCACCAACCAACCAACCAACAAACAAACAGAAAAGCAGAGCTGTGGTTAGATTTGGCTTCTAGGGCACCCAGGAGTCTTTCTGTGGAGTGAATTTCTGTCTTTTCCCTTTTTTCCTAAAATAAACAATGGACAAGCATCTGTTACTACATTGCATGAACTGTGTGTTTTCATCTCAAACCTTTTCCAGCACTTTTGGAAGATGTGGATGGAGCTACTATTTAGGAACTTTTTTTCCTTTTTTTTTTTTTTGGTTTGTGCCAGTACTGGGGCTTGAACTCAGGGCTTGTACACTGTCCCTTAGGCTTTTTCTCTACCACTTGAATCACAGTTCCACTTGCAGCTCTTTGGTGGTTAATTGGAGATAAGAGTCTTTTTTTTTTTTTTTTTGGTCTGGTCGTGGGGCTTGAACTCTGGGCCTGGGCGCTGTCCCTCAGCTCTTCAGCTCAAGGCTAGCACTCTACCACTTGAGCCACAGCGCCA